GGCGGGAGGGCTCCGTGCTGGGGACGATCCTGGGGCATATCTGGTAAGCGGGCTGACCTTTAACCACCCAGGGTGGTTTAATACGTGAAAGTTGAATCTGAAAAGAAGGAGAAAGCGGTTAGTTCTAAGACTCGACCATTTTCAGACAGCAAAGTGCATTCTGAGAGCATCTATTCGTCACGGTTCTTACAGGAATTCAGCAAAAGTCTAAAATTCCAGCTCAAAATCGAATTTTGGCAGGGAAGCAGCACGCTCCCCGTCTGCCTACGCGCCGTCATGCGACACGTAAAGCTCAGCACCGACACCACTTCACCTGAGCCGGCAGAGAAATACTAAAAAAAGAGGGATTGGCAGTCAGGTCTTGCGAAACGCCGGGTCTCCTTCGCACCGGGACGCCCACCCCGACGCTAACGAGTCGGATGCCTCCCGTCACACGGGAAGTGGGAAGGAACCCTAAGGTTCTGCCCAAACGGGGAGGAACTGAACTAGAGGATGAAGACCAGGGTTGGAAGGGCTCTTTGGCTTGTTTCAGGGAAAGCGATTTCCGTACCCACAGAAACGCCAACCACCAGCGCGAGTCAAGGTTACGCCGCGCGAGACCTTGGGGTGATTTTCCATTCTTTGCCTAAGTCAGGTGGCGAGCGGCGGGAACCGGAGGTACTCAGCCAGCTCTGCCCACGAAGCCCTTCCGCCTCTCCTCTTAAGAGACAACCCTTGACATTTTAATAACGTTTTGATGCCACTGAGCACGACAGCCCTGAGACACCGCGCGGCTCTGATTCTCGCTCCTACCCGGATGGGTGGGACTTTGGGCTCCTCTTTAGTAGGCTGTGGCTTTTCTGGGTGAACACTTTCAATTGTGTTACGAAAGGACTGACGATCTTCAAGCCGGGGCTTCTTTTCGGGGAAGGACGCGGAGGCGGCCTCCTCAAAGCATTTCCTCTTCTGGTCCTTGGGCTCCCGAGCAGCGTTCTCCTGGGGCAAACTGGGAATTCTGTCTGCAGCTGCCGACGGCAGATCTTCCGATTCACTGTGTAACTTGGAAGTCTCCGGGGAGAGGTGCCGTTCGGAGCTCTCTGGCTTCAGTACCGCGGCCGAAGGGCTCGGCAGATCGTCTTTCTGCAGGTCTGCCTCAGGCTTCGCCTCTTTACGGAGCGAGGAATCTGGCCCCAGAGCAGCGGTCTCTTTGGGAGCCTCCGCGTGCTCAGGGTCTCGCAGCTTGTACAGGCTCCTCCGGGCCCGGCACCGCAGGTCGGCCCGGGAGCGTTTCTTGAAGCGCCCGTCTCTCTGCCGTGTGGAAGGGCTGCGCGGCACCCTCGCTTCTCCTTTGACAGGCAGGCCCGTCCTGTTCTCAGCGTCTTCTTGCACCGAATTCTGCTCCTGAGATTCTTCTTGGGTCAAGCCCAACCTGCGAGGCAAACATAGGAACTAGCTAAAAGCTAAAGCCCATCCTAATTTAAGCATTTCGTCTTTCACTTATGGCTGCGCTGTCACCTCTGCACATGGTGACAGACACTTCACGAAGGAGCTGCTGACCACAACCTCGTCAAACCGCTGCAATGAGACAACGGATACATTTCCTAACCCTCCGCTATCCCAGGGGATGAGAAAAGTAAGAAAACGTACAGATTTGTGATGGACAATGAGCAACGTTAACTTGTCATGGAAACAAAGCAGATGGGCTACAAACTTCCGCCCTGACCCCGCCAATTCCACTAAGGGTTTCCCCGGAGCGACGGGGCGAGCGTCGCCTGCCTTTTTAAGGAGTTTAAGCTGCACCTTTCTGAGGCATCCACAAGCAGAAACACACTGCACAAACAGGGATGAAACGGGAGAGACGAGGTAAGTTTTCTCACTTTTGGCCGTAGTAGTCCTCAAAGAACTTCTCTTTCCACTGCTCCACTCGCTTTTCCTTTTCCATCTCCTGCCGAATCCGAACTTGCATCTCATGGGTGAATTCACCTACGTGGAAGCAAGGGATTGAAATTCCGTTCCAAACAAAAGGCTGGTGCACACCTGAGTTTTAACAGCGTAGCAGGGCAGCTACATACACGAGGGGCAGACTTTCTGGTACCGCCCTGCTCCGCGCTTTAACCCCGGATCCACGCGCCGCCTGACATCCCATAAGGACAGCGGCCACACGGCCACAAGGAAGACTGAAGCCACTCATGTTTTACCAGAAACAGGCCACCACTTAGGGGAAGACAAGCCTGGCACCTCCGCCACTCAGTTCAGAAGGTCCCCGAAGGAAAACACTTTGATTTTAAAGGAAAAGAGAAAAGATAAAGGCCGGGAAAGAGCCAGATGCACTGCAGAGTGGGACTGAACTCCCGTTCACGAACTGGAGAAGAAAACCAACCGAAGCCCACGAGCACCTCCTCTCCAGCCGCCCCGGAAGGCGAAGGCGCTCACCATCAGCGAGGCGCTCTCTCCAGCTCTGCGCGGCGTGGGTGAAGAACTCGTTATTCAGCGCGCTGCCACTGAGCCGCATCAGCCCGTCGGCCCCGACCTGATGGGACAAACCAAACGTTTGCTCCCGCCGCCCCGCGAGCGAGAGGCAGCGAACGGCACCCCCCCCCGCCACATCCTGCGCCCTCGTACCTGTCTGTCAACCTCTGGAAGGAGGTAAAGCAGCTGCTGCTGGAAGTGCGAGGGGAGCGCGTTAAAGGTCCTGGAGTTTATCAGAGCTCGCAGGTTGGTGTTGACGAGAATGGAGCCAGGAGTTTCAAAGTCAATATCCTCACCCCTGTTTCGTTTCATCTGCCCTGTAGTTTAGGGACAGGCAAATAAAAAGGTTGTATTGAAGTATTTCAGCATCACGGGCAAGAAATTCATGTCAAACTATTGCAGCAAGCGGAGCAAGAGGCGAGAGAAGGGCCTGAAGTATTCCAGGCACTCAAACACGCGAATTAATCGACACAATCTGGAATTTTGACACCAGTCACATTTCTGTCACGTTCAGGTCCAGCTCTGCATGTGCTCTTCCGTGTGGTTAAACTTCCAAACCGCTCTCACTCCCATCTGGGGAGGAAGGTCTGGTTTGCAAGCTTTAGCACTGTCACATGCCTTCCGAAGGAGGAGAACCTCGCCGTTTTCTCAGACATACATGGAATTCAACATTCCCTGCTCTCGCGGCCAGTTCCACCTCTCAGCAGAAGCACCTACCAGGCGTGGGCTTTCGGATACCTCTCAGAAGCTGCGGAGGATCCCTGTTTATTTCCGTTCTGCTACGCAAGGTGGCTTTGCACAGGGCCAAAGAGCCGCTGCTGCTGCTGCTGGATGTGCTGCTGCTCTCCCCGTCCGCGTGCCTTCCTGCGAAGCCTAAAGGCAAAGCAATCCCATAACACCAGATCCACTATCCCAGGGTACAGCCCAGCTACCAACCCCTTTGATGGAGTTAAACACACACAACACTCTACAGCCACACGCGGGTTCTCACCAAGTGACAAAGGAATCCTCAGGCAAACTGACAGACAATTAGGGACCGGTGATTAAAAGCTGGCAGTCAGTCCCGCAGCCATACCCAGCATGACAAAAGCCCCGCTCACCGGCCGCAGACTCCACGTGTGCCCCGTTGACTTTCAGGGGGGTCAAGACGACGCGCGGCAGCATGACTCCGGCCTTTTTCTTCTGTTTGGTTGTCTGCGGTCCGGGAAGGAACCAGAAACAGAGCAAAGGAGCAGAAACATTACAGAGGGGGAAAATAAGCTTCTAAGCAGCACAATTCCCAGTTAAGAACCACCGAGCTCTCAGGTAAGTCTTCAGGTGTCATGCCCCATCCCTGGGAGTGTCCAAGGCCAGGCTGGATGAGGCTTGGAGCAACCTGGGCTATGGAAGGTGTCCTTGCCCATGGCAGGGGGTGGGACTGGGTGGGCTTTAAGGTCCCTTCCCACCCAAACGCTTCTGTGATTACATGTAATAATTACACAGAATAGCAGAGGATTCAAAATTACCTTCCTGCACAGGACCCCGCCAATCCTGCGAACACCCCCCTAAGGAGACAGACCCTAACCCCGAGGGGGGGTCCAGTGGTCCCTGTCACGCTCACCCAACTCGTGCGCAGTAACAAAAGCTGCCCCGAGAGGCTTCACGCTTCCCAGAGTCCCACTTTTTCCTACCTGGGAGGCAGTTCGGTGGCTCTCCCGGGTAGCAGCGGGTCCCTTGCTCTGCGACTCGGTGGAACACGAGGCGTTAGAGGAGGTTTCGTCAAGAGACACTGGAAGGGACGGGCCCTCGGTCAGACACAGAAGCAGATCTTACAGCTTAACCTTAACGTCATGAGACACTCACCATCGTTATCACCACTCACAGTGCTCGCTTCATTGGACTCGCAACTTTCTGCGTCCGCCGTATCCTCCAGCTCCTCCCCTTCCGGCACAGACAGATTCCGAGACCACTGCAAGGCATCCTTCTAAACAGGCAAACAACTGGGATGGCCACAGTCCTCCCGCCCGGCCGCTTCGACTTAAACCAGGCGGTTTTTGGGACATTGTGTTTAAGCTTCATTTTTTTTTTTCTTCCCATCTTCCCTATTTTAACCCTTGATGCAGAAAGATATTTAAGATGACAGAGGTCATCTAAACTACTAGCACACCTCACAGGCACCTCCTAGGTAACCCGAACGCATCCAAGATACGCCAGGTTAGCGATTCATCGCACTTTGCTGCGAGCAAGCAGTTTCTAACAGAGAAATGTCTCAATCTTACCCCAAGAAACCAGGCAGCATCACAGCAGCCAACTACTAAGGCAGCGAGCTTAGGAGGTGTATTTATGACTGGTATAATCAAAGCCGTTTCACTTCCATCAGTTTTCAGCACAGTACGGCGATTCAGCATCTTCTGACAGCAGAACAGATGCAAGCGATTAGCCCAGATACCTGCGGTCTGTCCAGCTGATATTTAGCTGGGAATCCAACGGTACCAAGGAACGCAGAAGAAAAGCCTCAGACCAGAAATGTTTTCAACATTTAAAATTGCCGGGACAGTAAAAATGAAAAACGGGCCCCAGAGAGGCCCCAGGATCTGAGGAAAATGGTGACACCGAATATATACAGAATGCGGTGAGACACAAACCCACCAGGAGGGTGAATATACATTTTCCTGTCAAGATTTTACTCGTAGCTCAAGCTCTTGGACCAATCTGATGTACTGGCTGTGTCTCCTTGCAGCTGGCAGAAAAGGAGGGGATGGGACTGTTTCGATAGGCAGCCACCCGAGCTGGACAGCAAGAACCAGAGTAAGAGGGTTTATCTTGCTTGTGCAAATCAAGAAACAGGGGGGTTAAAAAAGGGATTTATCATACATGGCTGAAAACAGCGGAAAGCTACACGATGTAATGAATTCCAGACACCCCTTCACACGACGATCTCATGTGCTGCACATTCAGCTCACGTGACACTCGGTGACAACTGAACACCCAGTTACGCGTCGCAAGCAGAACTCGCACCTCGGCCCTCAAGGAAGGCAGGAGCTCGGCACTCACCTTGAGCGTGAAAAGGCTGATGCGTCCAGGCAGCTTGTAAAAGAGTCCGTCGCCTCCCCTGGAATTGGAGTGGAGCATGGCGTTGAGGCAGGCGAGGGGAGAAGTGCCGCTGGAACAGAGACACGCAGAAGACAGCGTGAAGAAACAGCTTTGTGAAGAAAAGAGCCTGAAAGACCTGTTTAAACGGGCATCGAGCTGAGCCAGGGGAGCAGAGATGGTGCTCGTTAACTCCACGGGACGGATGCTCCAGCCAGAACAGCTTCACTGTTCTCCCTTCTGGCCCGAACCTCAGCCTCACCCCAGCGAAGCAACCGCCAGGCGACAGGAAACGTTCTGCCGATTTTACCCTCGGCCATTTTTAGCCGTTTCTAATTCTCATTACCTGCTTTCCTCCCTTCCTCTGCTGGAAACTCTCAGAGCGGGGCTGACGTTCCAAAAAACCCCCAGATGTATTCAGCAGCGGGAAGACGTAAGCGAAACCAGACTGAGCTGTGGGCAAACGCATCCGCGGGACGTCCTCCCCGGCAGGCGGGAGAAGAGCTGCACCAGCAGGGCTCGGCACGGAGCTCCGAGGCGCTAACCCGGCAAACCCCGCGTAACTCCCTGCCGGAAGCACCCATCCCACGCTCACACCGCCGATACGTCCCACGCGCGCAGGCAGAAAGCGACCTGGAAACGCCGCCGGGCAGCGTCGGTCCGTCGTTACTGAAAGTGAAACTGCAAGCTGGAGGGAGACAAGATATTTCAAAGCAGCTAATTCTCAGACTGAAAACTCCGAACCACTTCTGCTTCCACCCTGAATGTGTTCGGGTTTCGGACCTTTATTCACAAGCCTTGGCAAGACAAAATTACCCCGTATCACTTTGACACTATGACCAATAAGTCCAGCCCTCTCTCCCGTTACAGTGCTTCCCCTCGGCGTGCAGCAGGGCGCTCCAAGCAGGCTAACCAACCACAGAGCACGCTCAGAGCGGCAAAATAAACCGTTTTCCCCAAATTGATAAAAAACTCAAGCAGTTAAACCTCTCCTAGGAGCTAGAACCCAGCAACAGTGCTGGGGCCTGGCGCCCTGGCACGAGAATCAGCCACGCAGGATCTTTAATGCCACCCGTAAGGAACACTGGTGCCCACCCCCCTGGTCACTGTGACCCCCAAACCAGGGAACACTGGCTCAGTATTGAGTCAAAGGGAAAAACATCTCAAGCCACCAAGCTGCTTCCTTCAGGAAACGGAGTTCCAGGAAGGGCTTCTGTGCACGTACCCGCAAAGTCCGCGGCACGTCGCGCTAGGCAGGAGCACCGCCTGCGTTCTGCGAGCAACTACGCTCCTAAGAAAACAGTCCTTTCCTACAGCAGAGGCTTAGTGACCGGGGGAGTAAAAGCAGATATCCTGAGGGAAAACCACCGACCTTTACAGAGACAACTTAGCTCTGTGGGATTTCGCTTGACACATGCTCCAAAGTCTGCTCTTCCATTACGTACTGCACCCAGTCACTTGTCAAGACTGGGAGAGCACTGGGAGCTAATTTGCGTGGGAAAGACCTGCTATTACCCTTAGCAGAGGGCAGCCTCCACTCGTACACCTTCAGCTACCTCCCGCCTAAAAGGACTGATGCAGGAAAGGTGTGGAGCAGCGATAAAACGAAGCCAGACGAAGATCCTCATCGAAAGCCCGTCTGAATTCCACCCACAGCCGTGACAGCACCGCCCGTATCCAGCCCGGGGTTAAGATCCTCTGCAAGGACCGCTCCACCCAGATATCGATGCAGCAACACACCCCGACATCGCCCCTCCCCAAACAACAGCAACTCCTCCGGACACCCCTGTACCAGCTCTCGCCATTCGGACCATCCCCGCTGCTTCCCGACTTCAGACACAACGGAGCAGCAGAAGCAGAGCTGGCGTTCCAGGGGCCAGGTCCCCCAGGAGATCAGTTTACTGCCCGTAGCTGGGTCAAGTCCAGGTTCAGGGAGCGGAAAACAGTCCACAGAATCAAGGCGAGGGGGAGGCAAGAGTAGAAACAGCCCACACTTCTGGATTCTGCAGAAATCAGGAATGGGCAGTGGCCAAGAGACATTTTCTGTCACTGGTAGCCAAACTTCCAACTTCTTTGCCACGCAGCGCTAACTGAGGCATTTGGATTATTACAGTTCCCTACTCTTTGATCTGCAAGACACTCTGGATTCCTCTTCTACTACTGTCACAGGAACAGATGGAAGTTCACAGGAGTTTAACCATGGAAAACAGTCTCCCACTCCCACTGTTTCTGAAGCTCCATATTGGGTTCGTTTCCGTATGAAACCCAAGCTGGGATGGGCGTCTTCTCCGTACAACGTCAAGAGCCCCAACAGCGTGACCTGCGCTATCACGGTGCTCAAAAATGTGACCAGACGCCAGTGTAGTAATAAAATAAGACTTTTCTTACTCTCATAAAACCTGTCTGCTCTAGAAATGAAGCATCAGAGGAGACCAAACTTAAACTGTTCTCAAACCAGAGTCACAATAGCAGAAACTGGCAGGAGCTACTCAGGGGGGTTGGAACTGGATGATCTTTAAGGTCCCTTCCAACCAACCCAGTCTGTCATTCCATGACAGCACCACACAAGTGGTAAGTACAAGACAATGCAGGAGTCTGATCTGCAACGGGCATTTATTCTACAACAGCTGGATGAAGGGGGCTCTCTACGTTACCAAAAAATCCAAGAACAGCTTCCAGTTATTGTCAAAGAAAAAACCCCACAGCCCGTGCATAAACGTCTACACTGTCACCTAAAATTACCACGCTGGGAAGAGAAACAAGGGAGAACAGTGGGCTGGAGATGAGGCAGAATTGCACGAAGCAACACAAGCCTTCCTGCAGCCTCCCCCATGCTCCACGCTGTTTTAGACCAGATCATCAATACTAACCTCATTTCCTTTAGTCCTTCAGCCTCTATGACCTGCAGAATCTGTTTCGGGGTCATCGGCGCATCGGAGTAATTTTCCAGCACCTGAAAAGACAGAAAGACCACGTGTCACTACAGAATTCGCTTCTGCATTCACAGAACTCTCCATGAGCAGCGTTTCAGATCCAATAATATCCCTCTTAAAACTGTACCCATCTGCAAAAGACACGCTCCAAATTCCAGGCCGCTTCAAGATGAGATCACGGGAAGCCTCACAAAAGGGCTCACCTCGACCCGGTCCCTCATTAGCCCAAATACAAACAGGAGGGAGAGGAAAAGCAGCAGAATTTAGCCTTGACCCCATGGAACCAGGGGGAGCTTTACCCCAGACTTCACTGGGCCGAGGTGCTGCCACACACAACCTTCAGGTCGGGCAGCGTCAGCGACCTTTAACGACGTAGGGTGTTCCCCCTGCCACACAGCTCCCAGTAAGGCACCCAGCACTCTCCTACCAGTGAAACTGTCCCTGCACAACCACGGAATTTAACAGCATAGCTTCCCGGGGTCCCTGCACTCAGTTCAGCTTCGCCCCACTGCAAGAAGAGTCAGAATTCTTGCCAGAGAAGGACAGAATTCAGAAAAACAAGTAAAGGATGGGGAAAAAAAAATGGCTAGAGACAGTAAAAAGATTTGGACTGCTTGCCTTTGGAAAAAAATGAGTGAAATCAAGTATTAAAAAGGCAACACAACAACCAGCTCCTCCTTTCATGTATTATATGCAGAACAGAATTGCCAAGGACGAAGGAGACCACTACTTTATTTCTGGTACAGCCCGTGGAACTTACTGCTCCGAAATGTCTAGAAACAAGAACTCAGGGGCTCAAAAAGAAGGACCAGACATTTCTGTGGATAAGAAGTTACCCACATAAACAGGAAACAATGAACAAAAATAAAGCTGCAGTAGATGCAACCCACGGTGTTTCTACGGGAGCAGATGACCCGACAGCTGCCCGACACACGCGTCTCCGGCGCCTGCGTTGAAGCGGACAGCGCTGCTCTCCGAACGCGGGACGCCGGACTCGGGCTTCTGGGTCTGCTCGAGCAAAAATAGGTGATGTAGGCACAGGGGACAGCCCGAAGTGCCCAGGAAAAGCAGCCACGGGTATTCCCTTGGGAAATTTTTGATGGTAACCGTGGTCTAAATTCCCCAGCGTAACAGCCACAACGGTGCACAGCCCCGACTTCACTTGTCACCGTGCGGTAAGGAGTCGGCACCACGACGCTGCCTTTCGGTCTGACCGGCGCGAGAAGCCAGCGGAGGAACCCAAACGCCCCATTTGTGTCAGCAGCGTCCCGAACTGAGTCACCGCAGCGCGGTGGCAAGGCACACAGCCCCGGTCTGCCTTCGGCAGTCACACGAAGAGGACACTGGCACATGATGTGTCGTGCAGGGCACCACGTGCATCTCTACCATCTCCAACCTCCACGAGTCAAGAAAAACCCAACCCCGTCACTCCAGCGCTGCACTCCAACTGCATTTCGTGATAAAGGAATTTCTTAACTCATATCCACCCGACATGTATTTTCCAGATCCTTGAAGATCATAAGCATCACTGGTGCTAACCTAATAGGAGATGGAAAGTGTAAAGTACGTACCGAGAGATAAAACACCCTGAAAACACTAGAGTTTAAAGAAAAGATCAAGGAATGTGATAAGCCACATGCAGAGAGAGTAAACACTCTTAATTCCGAGTCGATGAAGCTCCATCACTTCTTCCTCCATAGGTGACAGCGTCCTGTGAACTGCCACCCTCCCGTCACTCAGAGGGCACTGACAAGGGGAACATCGCTCCCCAGCTGAGTGCAAGACCCGCAAAACGGGACGTGCCTGCTCTGAAAAATAGAGAAACTCTTCCCAGCTTATAAAGCCTCTCCCAAGTGACAGACACAGCAAGCAAAATGCAGCCAAAACCCGAGCATGAAGGAGCATTTACATAAAGATAAAAGAATCTGTGCTCAGGGGAACAATTTCCAATCAGCAGCTGTATTAAGGGTACAGACTGCTTAGTGGAAGAACTGGGGGAAAGAATCACAGAATGGTTTGGGTGGGATGGGACCTTAAAGCCCACCCAGTGCCACCCCTGCCATGGGCAGGGACACCTTCCATAGCCCAGGTTGCTCCAAGCCTCATCCAGCCTGGCCTTGGACACTCCCAGGGAGAAGATGCTGCAGCTTTAGCCACCAAAGCCCAGTCCCCAGCACCAGCCCCCACCCCTCTCCAGCCTGACGCTGCCCCTGCCACATCAACCTCCTATCAGGAGCTGCAACATCTGAGCTGTTCCTTACCCCCAAACCCAGGGTTATTCCCCCTTCACTCTTTAAAATACTGATATTCGGATGTCCCTAATTACGGAAGTTTACATCACCCCCCAGTTAATTTACTAGACACCTAGCCCCGGCAGCACGCGTTGAGCAGGCGTGCAAGTGAACCTCTACAGGCCTGTTGTACGGAACGTGCGTAGCCTCAGCTCGGCAGGAGCAGCAGCGCTGGAAAGCACTTGTGCCCGTGACTCTCAGAAACACAGAACACAATAGCGCGTGTCAGAAAGGAGAATTAAAAGCATTCTGACAGGGAGCACGTGTAAGACTAGTGTTAAATAAAGATCTATTTTTAGTGGATTTACAATCAGTCCTGCAAGCTGGAAGCGCAGCTACACAACTGCAGGTTTAAGTGGATAATCTAGTGCGGGATCGTTCTATTTCTGGTTCATCAATGGCTCCAAGATGCTGCTGAGGCTTAGATGTCTCACGTTCTGGCCAAAAGGCAGGTGAGAGGCACGGTGTGAAGAGACCCCTCCCCCCTCACACAGCGAGGTGAGGCAGTGCTTTAGGACACTGCTTTTGGCAGCCTATAAACCCTGATTTTTGTTACCTGACACAGCTCAAGACACTTGAATGAGCGGCAACAGTGCAAAGTCACCCAGCACTGCCTCTGCCCCCGAGGTCACTGACCAGCAAAGCACCCCAGGCACCCACAGCGACCCGCCTGGCTCACGGGACCAGGATCTCCAGGGCACAATGAAGCCCCAGATCACCAAATTCTTGTAGGGAAGTCCTAGGGTGCCTGGTTTATGTCCTTCTCCAGTTTTTCAAGCAGAATCGTGTGGGTCTGAAATACTACAATTTACACACAAAAGATTATGCAAGTTGCTGGAAGATAGATGCTTGTCTGATTAGGTTTCCTCTTGGCAAGCAGTAGGAAAACACTCCGATGGCCAAACAAATCTTACTCAGAAGGAGCACCAAGACCTACCCTGAACATCCTCAGGCATGAGTCTCAGCTGGACTCACCCATGCTGTTCCGTTTGTGTGCTCCAGTACACAACCTGGCCAGGCAAAACCAAAATCAACACGCACACAAAAGGAAGAACAAGCAAACGAGATACACTCACGCCCTACAAATCTCTTTCTGTGGATGTCCATACGCTACACGGCAAGGACACCCCTACCCTCACGGGTGCCACTGGCAGCTGCGGAGAGACACCGCGGAGATGCGTTCACACCAGCCCAGGCAGTTGGAGCAGCCCTCGCTCCGTGTGCTGGCACTCCTGTGCCTGCACGGATCTGTGACACCGAGAGGGAGCAGCTCCCAGGCAGAGGCCAAAGAGAGGACGCTCCTTCCAGCCGGCTGTGGGAGCAGAGGGCAGCGGCCATCGGCACTCTGGGCCAAGCCGTGAGCCTAACCACCTCCAAAATCCACTCCAAATAACCCTACGGACAAGTTCGACTCGCTAGCTGAAAGACACCAAAGCTGTTTTTCTTCTTGTATTTATGAGTTGGTGTAAGATGGATAAAAACGCTTCGCGGAGAGACGTTACCCCACTGCGATGGCCAAAGCCAGCGGTGTCCGACACGCCTACACGACAGAGCCGACGCAGACCTGGGCTGGGAACTTCAAGCCTTCAACCAACAAGTTCCCAGCGACAAAAAAGGACTCGGACAGACCCGGAGTGACGTCTCCTAAAACCAAAAGTGACAAAACAGGGTCCGGCCGCAGCGAGGCCGACCCCGAGGCTGGGCAGGGGCAGCCACTCGCACCGGCCGGGTTTGGCTGGGGCCGGGAGGAAACAGGAG